GGTTCTGAAAGACATCTCTTACCATTAAAGTTTCTTCCAGATGGAGGTATTTTTGTACTGTGTTTCTGAAAAGATCTGAAGTCCTTTCTGGGGTTAGAGAGTCCATATTGGTATATCAGCTCACCAGGAGAAGGAAAGGGACCGCCAGCTCTTTCTTGAAACCAGAGTTCGTACAGATTATAAATGTTTTACTGGTTTGACAAGAGAGACACAATAGTATTTCTAGAATGGGCCTTTGTTGTTTGTCCTTGCTCCCTGTGCCCCCCTCGCTCCTCCCTCCTCTTCATGGCCGGGGGTGCTTGACAGGTTGCTCTGGTAAAGTGGACTAGGGTATTTTGTTGAAAGGTTAAGGACTTTAAACCTTAAACTTAAAAAATTAAAGGCCTTGTAATGCAGAGTTAGAGAGGCTTTCCTTCCCTCTCATGGTGGAATGACTGCCTCCACTGTTCCAGACAGCCTGCTCCTTGAAAGGCTTGTTCAGAGGCCCAGACATACTTTCTTCCTTTTTTCCTGCAGGGATTAAAGCCTGTGGTTTCCACAGAAGCACCGCCTATCATATTTGCCACACCAACTAAACTGACTTCCGATTATCCCACATATGATTATGCTGGGAAAAACAAAGTTCCAGAGCTGCAGAAGTTTTTCCAGGTGAGAGGAGGCACTCGGGAACAAAGAAGCCTGTGAAATAAATAGGTTTAAAAACAAACACTATGAAACCGAGTGTTAATCTAGTTTACTACCCCCTTCTCTCTTTTTCCTTAAATAGAATTCTTTTGATATTATTTGAGCCATAAACTAGTAGAACTCATTGTAGGTAGAAACTGATGAGAGAGAGAGGGTGATTAATTTTCTTATCAGTATTTGAGGGTATGCAGGTTTTTAAATTGCATATATTAGATGGAGGAAACAGTAGCATGTATTATGTATAAACATTATGAATAATCCAATATATATTTGGGTTTGTGACACATGCAGTGACTTTTGGCATTGTGTTTTCTTCTAATTGTTTTTTTGCCTCCTTGATATTAAAATTCACTGGGCTGTTGCTAGAAGTGGAGGAGGCTCTCTTGGGTTTGCTGATCAACAGAGAGAAGCTAAAACTGGATTTTAAAATTTTATAAACATTAATCTATATACAGATAATGTCTCAGATGCCATGGGAGTGGTAGTGCCTGTTCCTGCTGTTGCTGGGAGGTAGCTTCTCCCTCCTCAAAAATACTATGTCCAGATTCAGGACTGGCCTGGGGACTTTTGATCAGTTTAATCCATTTTAATCTGCTAAGTAAAATTTTTGTGTGTATGTGTGTTTTTGTTAATCTTCACCGGAGGATATTTTTTTCATTGATATTTTTAGAGAGAGTGGAAGGGAGGGAGTATCAGGAGAGAGAGAGAGAAACATCCTTGTGAGACACATCGATTGATTGCCTCCGGTGCCAGGGACTTGAATCTGAGACCCTTCGGTTCTCAGGCTGCTGCTCTAACTACTGAGCAAGCTGGCAAGGGCTGATAAGTCCGTCTTGAGCAGGGTGGGGGGTCTTGGCGTTGCAGTGGGGAGGGATTTTGGAGACTGCAAAATAATGGATTAAACGTTTTATGGATTGTCGTTATTAAATGGATTTGACACACCTTAATGGAAAGAAGGTGGCTGAATAAAAAATAATGGAATTGAACCTATTAACTGACCTGGTGTGCTCAGACTCCATCCACCAGTGATTAGGAAGTCAAAGTAAATATAGAGCATTTCTTGTGCCTATATAGCTCTTAAGTTAGCTGCTGGTTACCTTTATGTCTTAAAAAAATTCACCAATGCGTCTTTCTTAGTTAAGCAATATGATAAATTCCTTAGAAATTTGGAATTTGTTGCATGCACGTTCCTGAGGCTGCATATTGGAGAATTATTTTGGATTTACAAACTTTAGTTACATTTATAAGAAAATATACTAGAATTTCAATTAGCATTTTAATGGATTAGGGCTTTTCCCACTATTATGGGTTAGTCATGGAGTAGAGACATTTGTTCTTTACTAGCCTAAGTTATAAATCTTTTTCTTATCAACCATGTCCTTGATAATTCTTTCTTTCAAGAAATCTGATGGTGTGCCCATCCACCTGAAACGAGGCCTGCCTGATCAAATGCTTTACCGGACCACCATGGCACTGACGTTGGGAGGGACCATCTACTGCCTCATCGCCCTCTACATGGCTTCACAGCCCAGAAACAAATGAATTAGGCTGCAAAAGACTGGTTTGCTTATTGGCATAAACCCTTTGAATTTTTGTTTCTGTAAAAAAAATTTTTTTTTACTTGAATGGTCTACTTACTATTTTGCAAGAAAAAAATAGAAGAAAATAAGACAATATTTTGGTTTGTTTATGAAATGCACATGGCCTGTCAGAGCTCATTTGACAGTTAAAACTACTGCTCAAAGAAGTGCTGCTGCTCTGCGAGTTTGAGCTCCTGATTTCCCTGGAGGCTCTGGATGGAGGCTGCACACAGACTCATTAACGGCGGTCTGTGCTTGGGTCCTTGGGGACCCATGGTGGCCTTTTTGAGCATGTGGGGCAGAAACCTTTCTGGGTTTGGATATGTCTGAGGAAGGAAGACAAAAGCCAAGGCCAGGTGCATGAAATGAAGTATTGTGTCTGTAGTTACCTTGGGGATTTTCCATCTTGCAGTAAAATGTTAATAGAAATTATTTGCAGCACGCCTCTATTCATTGGGCAGTTTGTTTCAAAGGGTTATTTGCCTCATCCCAGATCTTTAGTGAAATTTTATGTGTAATTATTATGTATTTATTCCACTATGGGAATAGAACACCTGTTTAGTGTTGCATTTTAGACCGATGTCTGTTTTATTAATGAAACTGTGACACAAAGACTCCTTTACCTTTTAAAAACATTATGATTTTTAAGTTATGATTTATTTTGATTGTGGAATAAATACATGAATGAAAAATCTGAAGTTTGAAGTTTTTTAAATGATCTTTCAGAAAAATTTCAGAATACAACACCAGAGGCATCTTAAACCTGAGTCTTAATTTCTTTCTTTTTAATTTGGTACCAGATAATCTTTACAAAATAGTTCCTCAAAGTCTAGTAATAGAAGGCTAATGGTATACTGATGATTACCATATGCTTCCTAGGAAACCTGCTTGCCTTGTAGTGAAATGTGCCTGTTACACACAGTTCATTTAGACATTAATTTCCTGTGCCATCACAATTGGTAGACTCACACACCCTACATTAATGCTGAAAAAAGGTGGAATTTTATTATATACTAGAGGCCAGGTGCACAAAATTCGTGTACAGGAGGGGGGGTGTCCCCTCAGCCCGGCCTGCATCCTCTCGCAATCCTGGATCGCTGGCTCCTAACCATTCTCCTGCCTGCCTGATCACCCCTAACCACTTTGCCTGCCTGCCTGATCACCCCTAACCACTCTGCTTGCCTGCCTGCCTGATCGCCCCTAACCACTCTGCTTGCCTGCCTGCCTGATCGCCCCTAACCACTCTGCTTGCCTGCCTGCCTGATCGCCCCTAACTGCTCGTCTGCCTGCCTGATCGCCTCTGCCTCTGCCTCTGCCTCAGCCTCAGCCCCCGCTGCTGCGGCTTCGTCTAGAATAGTGATGGCGAACCTATGACACTCATGTCAGAGGTGACATGCAAACTCATTTTTTTGGTTGATTTTTCTTTGTTAAATGGCATTTAAATATATAAAATAAATATCAAAAATATAAATCTTTGTTTTACTATGGTTGCAAATATCAAAAAATTTCTATATGTGACACGGCACCAGAGTTAAGTTAGAGTTTTTCAAAATGCTGACACGCTGAGCTCAAAAGGTTTGCCATCACTGGTCTAGAAGGATGTCTGGAATGACATCTGGAAGGTCGTTCAGAAGGTTGTTCAGCTGTCTGGTCTAATTAGCATATTCTTTTATTAGTGGCCCAGTGCATGAAATTCGTGCATGGAGGGGGGGTTGTGTCCCTCAGCCCGGCCTGCACCCTCTCCAATCTGGGACCCCTGGAAGAATGTCCTACTGCTGGTTTACAGGGATTGGGTCTAAACCGGCAGTCGGACATCCCTCTCAAAATCCAGGACTGCTGGCTCCTAACCGCTCACCTGCCTGCTTGCCTGATTGCCCCAACCACTCTGCCTGCCAGCCTGCTCACCCCCAACTGCCCCCCGCCGCTGGCCTGCTTGCCCCCAAATGCCCCCCACCAGCCTGATCACCCCCAAATGCCCCCTGTGCCAGTGTACTTACCCCCAACTGCCCCCCATGCCAGTGTGCTCACCCCCAACTGCCCCCCCTGCTGGCCTGTTTGCCCCCATTTTCCCTCCCACTGGCCTGCTCGCCTCCAACTGCCCCCCTGCTGGCCTGCTCACTCCAAACTGCCCCCCCACAGTCCTGATCACCCCCAACTGACCCCCACTGATGGCCTGCTCGCCCCCCACTGGCACCCCCACCAGCCTGATCACCCACAACTGCCGTCCCCTCTTGGCCTCTAACCGCCTCTACCTCGGCCCCGCCACCATGGCTTTGTCCAGAAGAACGTCCCGAAGGTCTCCTGGAAGGTCTCCCAGTCTAATTAGCATATTACCCTTTTATTAGTATAGAGGCCTGGTGCACGGGTGGGGGCCAGCTGGTTTGCCCTGAAGGGTGTCCTGGATCAGGGTGGGGGTTCCCTTGGGGCATGGGGTGGCCTGGGCGAGGGGCCTGTGGTGGTTTGCAGGCTGGCCATGTCCCCATGGGGTGAGGGTCCCTGCTGGGGGGGCGTGGCCAGCCTGGGAGGGGCTGAGGGCTGTTTTCAAGCTGGCCACACCCCCTTCAGGGTGGGGGTTCCCACTGGGGTGCCTGGCCAGCCTGGGTGAGGGGCTGAGGGCCATTTTCAGGCTGGCCACGACCCCTGGAGACCCAGGCCCCCAGCCCCTCCTTCAGCAGCGGCCAGGGCAGGTGGGAAGCTTGGCTTCCTCTGTCGCCATGGGCAACCCAAGCCTCCAGTTCCATGGCCACTGCCATCTTTGTGGGGTTAATTTGCATACTTTCCCTGATTGGCTGGTGGGTATAGCAGAGGGATGGTCAATTTGCATGTTTTCCTTTTATTAGTGTAGATTATTATAGATGAAGTGGTGGTCTGTATCTTGTCATAACAAAGGATAGTGATTTCTTACTGAGGGTAAAATACTGTGTTTATAAACAATAGCATTCTCAAAGGCTAGGTAGTTGTTATTTGTCTGTATAAGTCTAAACTTTATTCTTTGATATTTCTCCCAAGTTTTTATTTTGAAAAATTTCAGATGACAGAAACATTGCAAGAATAGTACAAAATACACCTGTACATCCTTCACTTGGATCACTTGTTATCAGTATATAGCCACTTTGCTTTTTCTTGCTTTCCCAAAGCACAGGCACACAATGAATGTATGTACATAAACATTTGGTTTTTGCTAAATCATTTAAGATTAAGCTATAGAATTATGGTGATTCAGCCATAAACACGTTAGCCAGTATCTCCTAAGAGTAAGGATATAACTCATTTGTCACACCCCATTTAACATTGATAACAATACTGATACCTAATATAGAGTCTCTCTTTAATTTTCCCCAGGTATCCTAATAATGTGTCCTTTGTAGTTATGTTTTTTAAAATAACAGCTTTATTATGATATAATTCACATACCATACAATTCACCTTTTAAAGTGTACAATTCAGCCCTGAGCAGTGGTTAGAGTGTGGGCCCATGCACCAAAGGGTTGTGGGTTTGATTCCTGATCCCAGTAGGGGTGTATGTGGGAGGCAACCAATCAATGTTTCTCACATCAATGTTTCTCTCTCCCCCGCTTCCTACCCGCCACTCTCTAAAAGGCAATGGAAAAAATATCCTCTGGTGAGGATTGACAGCAACAACAAAAAGTGTACAATTCAGTGGGTTTTCCTAAATTCAGAGTTGTGCTACCATTGCCACAAATCAGTTTTAAAACAGTTTTATTACCCTAAGAGGAAACTCTATGTGCCATGAGCAGTCACTTCCCTTCCCTACCCTAACTTCTAGCCCTGGGCAACCACTAATCTATTTTCTGTCTCTCTAGATTTTTTTCTTTCTGGGCATTTCATATAAATACAGTAAAACCTCAACGTAACGGACTAATTCAGATGCGGGGTATCTGTTAAAACTGAAAGTTCGTTATATAATAGAGTAGGTTTTCCGAATGCATGTTAACAAAACTGACAAATTAGTTTACCTGTTTTTATTGATGTAGATAATTTGTGAATTTAAAATTATGTATGAAAATTTTAATTTCATGTAGAAGTTTTCTATATGTATTACAGCAATTAAAAATTTATATTGAATAGATCACTGCGAGTAAATAAATGCTAGAACATTGGCTAGCATGCATTAAAACTGCTGCAGAAAGTCATGCCATGCAACAACAGAACCAATTACCACTTGCAATGTGGTGCGATCATGTGCTAATCATTTGCTGAACGTTGTTTACTAGCGGCGACTCTTGGATATAAATATGTAGACTGTAGTTGTAGATGTGTAATATTTAATTATGTGAAATTACTACAGATTTTCCCAACATTTGGCCTATCTGCCTAAATTTGTTGAAAATAACAGTGAATTAATAACAAATGAAAATGACCTGTTAATTTAATTATAAGCAAATATAGGTTAAAAGTATTTTCAAATTAACAGGGCATTAATTTTTGCATATGACGTGTGGACCAGAAATTTTGTTTGTTAAATCGAAAGTCTGTTAAATTGAAGTCTGCAAAATCGAGGGTTTACTGTATAATCAATCATACAATATGTGATCTTTTGTAACTGATTTCTCTCACTGTAATGATTTCGAGGTTCATCTATATTGTATTATGTATAAGTACTTAATTCCTTTTATGGCTGAATAATATTATATGGATATACCACATTTTGTTTATCTCTTCATCAGTTGATGGATATTTAGGTTATTGCCACTTTTGGCTATTATGAATAATGAATGTTTTTATGAATGTTGGTATACAAGTATTTTTTTATTTTTAGATTTATTGGGTCAACACTGGTTAACACAGTTATACAGGTTTCAGGTGCACAGATCTACATCAGGTATTTGATGGACATAGGGCATATAATGAGTGGAAATGCTGAGTCCTATGGTAACTCCATATTTAACCTTTTTTAAAAATTGATTTTTAGAGAGAGGGAGGAAGAAAGAGAGAGAAACTGATGAGAGAGAGAAACATTGATCGACTGCCAGTATTTTGCAGAATATCCTTTAACTTGGATTTGTCTAATGGTCTCCTTATAATTGGATCCAGGTTAAACATTTTTGTCAGGAATTCTTTATATATAGTGTGTTTTCCTTATTATATCAGTGGTATAATAAGGTACTCAATACCAGTTTGTCCCATTATTGATGATTTGAATTAGATAATTAAAATGTGAGATTTCTCCCTTGTAAAGATACCCTTTCCCCTTTGTAATTAACAAGTAATCTGTGGGGTGATATTTGAGACTGGGAATATCCTATTTTCAATAGTTTTGCATCCAGTGTTAGTGTTCATTGATGATTCTTTGAATAATTTATTTTCATTTTTGGGGGGATATGTTCTTTGTTATTGATTTTAGAGAGACGGGAAGAGAGGGAGAGGGAGAGAAACATCCATTGGCTATCTCCTGCATGCCCCTGACCAGGGTTCGAACCTGCACCCAGGCATGTGGCCCGACCGGAAATTGAACTGGCGACCCCTTGGTACGTGGGACGATATTCAACCAACTGAGCCACAGCGGCTGGGCTCAGTCTTTTTTATTTTATTTTATTTTATTTTATTGTTGACAGGATTACAGATGTCTCCCATCCCCCACTTTCCTCCCCCTTCTGCCCAGTCCTTCCCTACCCCCCAGGTCTTCACCAACCTATTGTTGTCTTTGGGTTATGCATAGAAGTATACAAGTTCTTTGGTTTATCTCTCCTTGTCCCCTGACCTGAGTCATTTATTTTTAAGATGGTTTTAAAAAGTGACTTTCTATTCTGTCATTTCTTCTGCAATGTTGATATTTTTCTGTGAAGATGAGTACCCCCCTTTTAAAAAGTTTTAATGTAATTTTCTCATTCATTGTAATAACCATCTCTGTAGTTATCATTCTGATGCTCAAATTTGGTTTCTGTGTCCTGTTGACATGCCCCTATCTGTCTCTGAGCATTTCTTCACTTCCTGACACACAAGATGCTTTCCATGCTGACCTTACATTGTCTCCAGCCCCATTGCCTCTGTTTACGTTCAGGTGTGTTCTATTCACAGATCAGATGCATTTTCCTTCGCTGCCTGTTTTGTTTTTGCCCAAGTGGCATTACACATTCTTAATACTCACAGTCTGGAGATTGTTCTCTGCTTTATTTTTCTGCATTGTGTTCCATTTTATGAACATACCATAGTTTATTTAACTAGTCTCCTTTTGATGGTTAGTTAGTTGTATCTTTTTTGCTTTTATAAGCACTCCTTTAATGTGTAATCTTTTTGTCATTTTTTATATTACTGAATATATTTGTAGGGTCATTTCTAGAAGTGAGACTTCTAGAGAATGTGCATCCCCCATTGTGATAGCTATTCCTCACTAAAGCGATGGTGCTGATGTATGTTCCTGCCTAGCCATGAGGGGAGTGCCTGCTCGCCCTCTTTTTTGCCAATCTGGTAAGTGATAAAATTCCTTTGGTTTAAAGTGCCTTCCTATTGAAATTAGTGATGTTGAATGTCTTTCTTTTATTTAAAATTTATTCTTACTTTAAAAAATCTTTTTATTTTTAAAGGTAAGTTTTATTTCTTTTTTTGTCAACTGTCTACTCATGTACTTTTCCCACTTGTGTCCAGGTCCTTTTGATAGTGCCATTAATGTCTTTGGTCTTCTGCTGCCTTCCTCAGGAACAGTCTCTGCTGACTTCTCTGAGCCAAACTTCTTCTGTTTGCAGGTTCCAGAAACTCACTAGAACCAGCCTGTGCAGAAAGGGGGATGTCCCAGAACCCAAGCGCAGTTGGGCCTCACAAGGATTACCTTTGGGACAAGGTGATTGTGACTTAATAGTTTAAGCCCTTATCTATAATACACCAGAAATTACTCCGTGCAACTATTTCAACTTATGGTGAAAGGTTTTAGTTGCTAAACTTGCATATGCAAAAGGCTACACAAAGATTTTCAAAATTCTTTAGGGTGCACAAAAGCAAGAAAGGTTGCAAATGGCTACTTTGACATTCTTTCTTACTCATCATTTGTTTTCTCTGTCAGCAGATGCCCTTTCAGGTTCCAACTTTCCTTCTCCTTCCAGGCCCCTCATCTAGTGTGACTTTGGTGTGAAGCTATCAATGTCAGGGTGAGGGTGGGAGTGACTATTGTAATACTGGCTGGCTGGCTTTGATTTATATACTTTTTCTCCTCTTTGTGAGTGTGGCTATGGGCAGGCTGCCCGGATTTCTGGCTCATTGATCTTCCATAGCTAGAGGATACACCAGGGGCAATGGTGATTGATTGCTTAGAAATTGAGATACTATCTGGTCCCAGTGATTTAGTACATTTATTTGACATTTGACTGCACATATCCTGGGTTGGATCACTCTAATCTATCACCAAGGACTGCCCACGGCGGGTTGGTTGAGAAGTGGGGCACTGTCCTTAGTGCTCCTCTCGCAGGTGCATTGGCTGTCATCCTTGGTTGTCTAGGGCCCCTCTGACTCATGGTCATCAAGGAGTCCCCTAATGCTCTGCTGCTTTCAGATATTTAGTTAGTGCAAAAACATATACTACCAGGTGCCGGGGACCCAAAGATGAGTCAGATACCTTTGCCCCATAAGCAAGCACTCTATTTCAAAATTAAATATTTTTAAAAGTTAAAAAAATATCTTTAGGTCCTTTTTAGGGTGTCTCTCGTCTCTTAGGATTAGTAAATCATTTGGTTAAGAACCTTTCTTGTTATAGAGCAATTTCACTGTTATCCCTTGCCCTTCCCTTTGGGGAGCTCCTTGGGATGGATGGGGTTTGGTTACCGTAGGACAGGCTGCCTCTGGGTAAATGTGGGTGGGGGAGTGTGGCTGTGGATTCTCTTCTGGGAAACGTGCACCTTGGCTGTAGGGGGCGTACCCTCATGGTTGTGAGGGCAGCATCAGCTGACCTTGCTCTCATGACTTGAACAGAGCAACTGGGGTGACTCGGCCACCTTGCAAGATAGTGTTGGAGCAGATGGGTCATCCGCAGTCTCCTCTGCCGTCAGCAGCCGTCACTTGCGTGAGTTTCATTAGGACTCTTGACTGGGGTAGCTCCAGGTGCACAGGTGCTGCAGGATGTCTTGGATAGACCGAGACCAGATGCTGCTTATTGCTCAGGATCCGGAGTGTTAGAGCTGATTTCCAGGAAAGCTGCTGCAGGTACTACTGGAAAAGGTCAGGCAGAGTGGCTGGGAATAGCATTCTTTACATAATACTTTTTTCCTCGAGTGCTAACAGCCCTCCTGGGATGTCATGCGTTTTCTTGCCCTGACCTTGCCTTTGACACGAAGCTTTGTCATGGTCACATGGCTGTACCTCAGGGCCAAAGTACAGGTCCTTCACATTGCCCAGTATGTACTGGGTAGATTAGACTCTTTGCCAACTTCAAATATCACATTCTGATGGAAGTTGGCTGAAGCTGCCCCAAGCTGTGGGAAATGTTAGGGCAGCCTCCCAGTCAGCAGGAAAAAAGTTTTAGAAGCAGAAACTCATTGCAAAAGGGCCTTGGTACGGCTATGAAATGCAACTGACAAAAGCAGGAACCTTGGTTTTCAAAGGCAGAAAAGGAGTGAGGCAGATACCTGGGGCCTGGGTGAAGTGCCAGAGTCAGCTCAGAAAATAGGGGTCTTTCCTGAGGGCACCTAGTCAGGCAGGATTGCTGAGCCAGGGCTCTTGACACATTTCAGCACTGTGAAGGGGAGGGAGAGAAGGGGGAAGAAGGCAGGTAGGCAAGAGTAGAGTGGAGGCGCGGGGGCAGGGGTCTGCTGGCCCTGGACTCACTTGGAGGGTCTGGTTGTACCAGGCTTATGCCGAAGTTGTTGGAGAGAATGGAGCCAGAGCCCAGGACTATGGGAAAGTCCAAGGAAGGAGTCAGCTTGGTTGCCCGGCTCAGCCTCGGCCTCTGTCTTTAGAGAGGCTTGCGACAGGTTACAGAAATTCCTGGCCCCTGGAGAGGGTGGGGGAAAGATGGAAAATGTTCTAGAATTGGTGAATACCTGTCAGGCCCCATGCCCATCTTCCCCTCCCCTACCACCCCCCTGCTCAGGCCACAAAACCCTCATGTTAGATAGCAGGTTAATTTGAAAATTGAGTTGCAGTTGGATGAGTTGATGTTAACTTAAAGTTCAGTGGTGTTTAATTAAAGCCATCCAGAGACTAAAACTGCTCTCGGGAAATTATTCTGACCGAATAATTAAAGAGAATGAAGGTTAGAAATGTGTTTCTGGCTATATCTGTGTTGCATTCTGCATCTTCAAAACATGAATTTCATTAACCTTTCATGAACCAACATTAAATTGTTTTCAATTGGTTGTCATTCTAATTAGAGTCACACAGAAGGGCCTTTGTTTATACTTGGTGTCTGTTCCCTTTTCTCCTGGATTCATGTCCTCTTGAAGCAACAGTCATTTGGAAAATCAGTTTATATATGTATGTGTCTGCCCGTGTATATGTATGTGTCTCCCTTAGTCGGACCCTGTTCATTGAGTATCAGGAAGTGCCGTACCAGAGGAAGTAGGCCGCAACTGCAGCAGGAAGGCTGGGGTAAGCAGTCACTGCTGATGGTTAGGGCAGGGTGTGTAACTTGTAAAAACATGTCCTATGGCCATGGGAGCTCAGGAGTGGTCACCACCCAGCCCAGGCCAGCGTGGGCAGGTCTTAGGGAGCTGAGGACCTGGTGGGTCAGGAGGTGAGTGTGCTGCCCTTTGCGATATGATCTAGCTGCCTGAGCCTTAGGCTGCCCCTGAGCCTTATGCCTTGGGATTGGTTGGCCTTACTTCTGCCGGGTGAGGGATCAGTGTCCTCATCTGGGCCTGTCTGCAGCCTCAGTCTCCTGAGTGTCAGCATTCCCAGGTTTCTGTCTAGTGGCCATAGCAGGAGGTGTGGGGAGAACGGTGGGATAAAGTTCAGTGTCCCTGCTGTAGGATTTACTATACCTTGTCATCCAGCATATTTTTTCTATTTATTTTCCTGAGTGATTATGGGTGGGGTGTGTTGCAACCGAGAAGTCAACCCAGGGTTCGTCAAGGTGGACCGTCCCAACCCCGGGAACTGGGGAGGTAGAGAGGGGAGATGGGCTTTCTTCAGCTCCAGGTCTGGACAGAGGTCAGAGGTGCTGACTCCACCCTTATTTATGTATCTTGGGAATGTGCGTGTGTGGTGGGGACACTTGCTGGTCTTTGCAGAGCTCTGTGCTGTGCTCTGGGCCCAGAAGAATCTCACTGGGATCCGGGTCTGGGCCAGATGCCACTGAAAACAGAAGGGGCAGACTGACTCCCCTGGTGAAGACAGTCGTGCCTTACGCTTCATCCCCAAGAGCAGTTTGGGCCTGGGGTTTCCTAGTGCTGTCGGCCAACCTGGCCACTTTTGAGCTGGGTCTTGAAGTCTTCTGAGTACCCTGGGCCATCTCTGGCTTCCCACAAGTTCTGCTTTCTTCCCTTATGGACTACCAGGTGCCCTGTTGTCCTTTCCACAGGGCTTTTCCATGGACAGATCTGGGTTACTTGAGACGGGACTTGCCCCATTTTTACACCAGTAACCCTATGGCACAAACCATTCATTCTGTAATCGCTGTGTCAGATTCTGTGTCAGGGACCAGAGAGAGGTGATACTATCCCTGGCCTTCAGAGCTCAGAATGATGAGTGCCCTCCCAGACAAATCCCCGTGTTTAACTTTGATAATGTTTAATGAAAATGTAATTACTGTAATTTAAAAGAACTTCTTTCTATTTTAATGTGAGGGTTTCCCATAGAAACTACTTCAGCTTTGGCAGCTGTGAATGGCAGCTTTATTAATGGAGCCATCTGCAGGCTTTCCTAACAATTTGTTGCACTGCTCATCGCTTCCAGAGCAAACATTGTTTATTGGGTTGGAGGCCCAGCCAGTCATCCGGAGGGGCAGCCTTCCCCGTGCCCTGATGCAGGGACAGCTAATGTCTTCTCTCATGCTGGGCTTCACAGACAGGGCCAGGCGGAGCCCATGAGCTCACCAGGATGTCTCCCATGTGGATCAAATGCCCTTGGTAACAAGGGCCTTATTCCCTTCTTTCAGACCGTGATCAGGGAGATGGGGCCTGGGGATAGCACAGATGGTGCCTAAGCCCACGGTCAAAAATACCTTTTTCGTTGCAGCCGCTTAGTTCATGTCAGATTCCTCACTTGCCCCCCAGGAAGGCTGACCCGTCATCATGTGAGAAAGGGATAGGGTCTCATGGGTGCTCGTGTCCTGCGAGGGCCTGGGTCTTAACACATCTTCCAAAAGAGGACACTTGGCTCAGCTCAGAATTAATTCATCTTCTAAATGGAAATGTCAAAGCCTGGCAAACAGTAGGCCACGCAAAAATAGATTCTGCCGGTGAAGCCCGAGGGCCTGTCACTCTCACGGGAGAAAGCCTGATCACCTAATCTCAACTCTGCAGCAATTTCATGAGGGCTGTGCTAAAGAGTGGAATTCTTTTTCTTGTCATTTTATAAATTCTGGATAAGGGGAGGTGATTCAGCCCAAGCATCCTAGGAAAGGCAGCAGAGGGTGGCTTCTGGAGGGGTTTCCAAGAAAGGGAGTGATACCAATGACACTGACCAGTCAGAAAGAGGGAGAAGGGTTGATCTCTTACCCCTCCCCCCAAACCCTTCCCTGCCATCCCGCTGTAGTTTGACAGTCTGTTCGATGCTTCTTTGTCTCTTATCTATTTTTGTTCATCAGTTGATGCATGCATATAGGCATAACCAATGGACACAGACACTGGGAGGGGGGGTGAGGGCATGTGCTGGGGGCTAGGGGGATAGGGGGGAGGTCAGTGAGGGAAAAAGGAGACATATGTACTATTTATAATACTTTAAACAATAAAAAAATAGCAGAAAAATAAAGAGGGAGAAGGGGACAGTGCCTGAGCAAAGGGAGAGGATACACAGAGGCCATCTCCCATGTGAGTTATGCAGCAGGTGCCTCAAGGGGAGGGGGACTAGCAGGTGAGTTCTCTGTGCCTCCAGGCTGTCTCTTGCCCTGCTCTCAAGCTGAACTTAACAACCACACCTCTGGCCAGCACCCCTCCCTTGCCTGGGCTTCTTCATGCCCACTCCAGCCAGGAATTCTCTCACAGACACCATGGCAGCAGAGTGGCGGCTGGAAAAGCTGTGGAGAGCACCCACTTTCACAATTTGTACCTGAAGTGCACATGGATAGAAATTGTATTAAAATTTTGTTGTATTAAGACCCATTTTCTTTTCCACTTTCCCTTCAAAAACATAAAGGAAAGGTAAAGTGTTTATATCTTTTTAAATTTGTCATTTTGAAATAATTATAGATTCATAGGAAGTTTGAAAAATAGTAGAGTCTGGTGAACCCCCTCCCTCAAGGGGCTTCTCTCCCCCCAAATATAGTCACATGTTATATAATGTGTAAAATTAAAATTGATGTTGATATAATACACTAATCTACACTACAGACCTTTCTGAATTTTCATCCTTTTTACGTTCATGTGTGTAGTTCTGTGCAATTTAATCCCATGTATATATTCATGTAACCACCCTCCTAACCAAGAGACAGACTTCATCACCACAAAGAAACCCCCTTGTGCTTCCCCTTAATAGTGACATCCCCTCCCCTCTGTACCGTCCCCTGGCAATCACTAGTCTGTTCTATATAGTTTTGTCATGTTGAGAAACTATAATAAAAGCAAAATATGCTAATTAGACTAGACAGCCGAAGCTGGGGCTGCGAGGGCCCAGCCCCTTGCATGAATTTTGTGCATTGGGCCTCTAGTGTTATATAAGTGTTTGAAATGTACAGCTGGTAAACTTTCAAAATTGACTTTCTATACCCTGAGCTTTATCCAAGTTTGCATATATCAATAGTTTGTTCATTTTCATTAGGCAGTAGTATTCCATTGTATGGGTTCCACACTATTTTTTAAATATCAAAATTTAACCTTTTGGATGTTATCTGTTATAGAATTTAAGCAGTGGATGGGTGGTTCCAATAGATGACCAATCCATGATTCCTCAGTAGGAATATTTACTTTTCACATTTCAAATGATACACTATTTATTATCACGTAGTGATAATTTTCGAATTTTGAGAGAAATTAGAAAGGTTGTTTTTCCCACCTTTCTAGGTTACATGCTCCCTGAAGGCAGGGGCTGTATCTTAGTCATCATTGGATTGCCTGTGGGGCCCAGCATGGTTCCTTGCACGGGATAGGTTTGTATATGCCTCATCAATGGATGACTTACTCCCCAGGATTCAGACTGGCTGCCACTTTGAAACTGTTGGCAGCACTATCCATTTTTATTGTAGAGACTGAAGTCTGCAGGAGGAGGACCTGCCTTACCTGGGCATCTGAATGACAGTTGTTAAGTGAAGTAGTTCTACCGTTGATCTGGTAAGAGAATGTCAGCTTCTGTTCCCTGGCTTCCGCCCAGGCTTCCAAGGCCCCCACCCAGTGTCGGCTACAGGGACAGCCTGTGCAGAGGCAGGCTGCAGGACCCTGTGACCTCTCCCGGAAGCATTCTGGCTTGGTGTGACCATCAAGAATGAAACGGGATGACCAGGTATGAGGGTTTTGCTTCTTATTGAAAAGTTATTTTTCCTCTTGGAGGTCATTTCTTTTAACAACCCCCCCCCCCCTTTTTTTTAGCGACCCTTTTGTTTTCAGTTCCTCTAGTGAGAACTGGTGAAAGTAAACTGTGATGTCATCAGCACCAGCAGTTATCCGTATTCATCTGTCAATGGATGGCTCCCTAGTGAAATCTATTTTTAGGACTCTGTGTTTACATTGCTGAGGGGGAGGAGGTGCAAGATCAAAGCAAGTGGCCTAGCGTGGGGCTGGGAGAACCTCCAGGCTTGCCACTGGCAGTGAGAGATGGGGAATGAGGCAGTGTGGGAAAAGCACTTGGCCACTGACAGAAGCTGCCATGCTTTTTTTGTGAAATGGAAATTGCTCAAAAGTTGGGAAATAAGGAAGCAGAATCTCTGTACAAATAGGTTTAAATGGAGCAGTAAGGACTTGGTACTCATGTGCAACTCTGGCCAACAAAAGCAGGAAGAGCAGGCAGTCACTGGCAGCAGGTGTCAGAATGTGAGGTTAGGCTGGGAGCTCCTCTGCTCTGCACTTGGCTGAAGGGGTGGAAGGAGGGGACTTGTGCACAAGCAGGTCCCTTCAATTTTGTGACACTGTTCAGAGCCCCAAACTGCCTTTTGCAAAGCCTAATCACTTTCTGTAGTTCTTCTTTATGCTGGTCTTAAATTCTTCCTATCAGGAGCGGAATCATTCTAGTCTTTCCTGTAGTAATCACTAGCTTATTGTCTTACAGCAAACGTCTTTAGTGCACTAGCAGGACCTGGCTGCAAATCTTGGTGCAGCTACTTGCTTATAGTGTAACCTGGCTTCTCTGTAAAATGGAGATAATGGGGCTGCACGTAAAGCACGTATTAGCTCTTACCATTGAATAGCATTTAGTTATATGGATATACCATATTTTAATTATTGAGTACTTTGGTTGTTTTTTGGTTTTGCCCATTTTTTCATGTTTTTGTCCTTTGAGATATAGAAGTGGTAACTGAGATTTTCTGCCAGACTCTGGATTGGTGAAGTACAAAAAAATAAGGACCCAATAATAATGTGCTCAGTGAGCCCGGGTCTCCTGAGGACGCCACCCATAGGTACAGAAACAAAACACACTGACATGTCTAGGAGACAGGCTTTCTTTACTCCATTTGGGATTACTTCTTTTCCCCCCTTTATCTTCTTTACCAGAGCATTTAGGGTTATTGTACAGGCCTGTTAATGCGGGCAGAGTAGAAATTCAGGTTTCCTTTGGAAAAGGTGAACCTGAGGCTTGAGACCGACAGACACTCTGCTGTTTCGCTTATCTTCCCCAAATCTGTGAATTTGTACCCTCATCCATTCCCGCTTGCTACCTGTTTCTAAAGAAAGTCTTCCTCCCAGTATGAGTGGAAGAAGAGTGAGCTTTAAAGCTATAAAACATGAAGTCCTGGCGTGGCCCTTATCTGGGTAAATGAACACGGTCAGTTACGAAATCTTCCCAACAACCTCCCTGCCTACAGGGTAACTAACCCCCCGCACCCCCATCACTAAATGAACCAGGGTGCTTGGGCATGCTTGGCCGCACAGGGGCTGCTCTTCAGCCTGTCTTCTTTGTCCTAAACATGTTCTCTTTACTCCTCTTCCTTTTAGTTCCAGCTTTAAGCTGGAAACCTAATTTCTTCTAGCAGTATCACCAGCACCTCAGTCACGCTGTTTAAGTGGGTTTGTCTGGTGTCCATCGGCCATTTTGTTTCAGAATTGGTGAAAGAGAAACTCCTACTCCAGGACAGCTCTCATGGGTTATTTCGTATGGGCATACCGTGGAGGTACTGAAGGTTTGGTTCCAGACCACTGCAGTAAAGCGAGGCACATGAATTTTTTGGTTTCCCAGTACATACAAAAGTTATGTTTACACTATACTGTAGTCTAAGTGTGCAATAGCAATACGTATAAAAAGATACCTAATTAAAAAATGCTAAGCATAAGCATCACCTGAACCTATTGGAATATTGTGCTGATAGATCTGTTTGATGCAGGGTTGCCAAACCTTCCATTTGTAAAGAAAACAAAAAACATCTGCAATGTGCAGTAAAGTGAGGTATGCCTGTATATGTGAGTGGCTCTGTCAGTCACCAAAGGTGAATAAGGTAATGATGAATACCGTCATTTCCTTGATTATAAAGCTGGGGAATAGATGGAATACTCTCAATCTAACTCTTTAAAAAGAAAGTATGTAGCAGCCAATTTATGGTTGTGGTGTGCACGGGATCCTTGTCACTAAGCAACATGGGAGAGATGGAAAAATCGGGATACAGGGTCCTACTGAGCTCAAGGATTTAACAAAGGCTAATACTGGGAGGCAGTGGAATCAGGATCACTAGGATTATCCAATGGTAAACATTAGAGAAAGTATAGACATGAAGTAAATTAAAATGAAGCTATTTCCTTATTAAATGGAAGCATCAATCAGAAGTAATTTCCTATAATATTATGAGATGGAGTTTACTACTACCAGAATGGTTGTATCCGTAATAGCAACTGTGATCAACTAATAATTGTCATGTTTTCTAAAAAGGGGACAGTCATGGCAACTAGCAATATAAGTGAAGAAAGAGTTTAAGGTACATTTAGAGAGACAAATGAAACATTTTGATTATTTTATTTTTTAATCTTCAAAATTTTCTGCCATGAGACAGGAATGCATGATAGAAATGGCTCAACATCTTCACATGAAACACTTGGATTCATTTTCATTCACAAGTTTTTCTAAAAACTACAATTTCATAATCCCACCCACTTCCAACCATTATCACAGATTTGATTGACTGTTAAACAGTAGTTGCCAGCAAGAGCTGGAACGCTTTCTGCGTATTAGTAGTGTCTTAAAACTACCACCCAAGAGTATCACGATTATAAATTTCATTGTACACAGCAACCCCAAAGGTGACTGATGTGCCCACATAAACTCCCTGGTTATCACTGAGAGCTTGAAGAAATGCTTTTCTACTTGTTCATCTCATAGTATTTTTCTTGTAGGGAAAAGCACATGTTGACCTGATAATTTAGTCACCACTGCTAATAGGCAAGTATATATGCCTTACATATGCCTGATACTGATGCTCTCTGATAATTATGTACAGAACACACTAAAAAAAAAAATGGGTTGCTTGGAAACTACCTCTCTTCTGTTGAAGAGAGCTACTTTGAGGTTTTTTTTGAACAGTTGTAAACAAAAGGAAAGAGATACACACGAACATATATCTATACACCTAGAGATATACATTGAATATTTTCAATGTGGTGTATATCTGCTTATATAGAGATACACACAAACACAGAGTAAGTGTCTAGACTTACCCCTTCACACATACCCACACCCTTACATACAGCACGTGAATATACATGTTGTGAGTGTCCTTGGGAGTTCACTGGAGTTTGTACATTACCAAATGATGATGAAATACCTGATCTGTATTACTCCTGAGAAGATACTAGAAGGGAATGACAGTTCTGATGCACTTTGGAATGGCACAATCACGTAAACACTTGCATACTTAAGACTTCTGAACTCATCCAAAGTTTCTAAACATATTCTAACAAAAAAAAAAAATATCAAAACTTGCAGCAAGCTAAAAAATAAAAGTTTTTTTTATAATCCAAGTATAAACAAACATAGGAAATGAGTATTTGTCAGTAATTATTTTTAAAGTAGGGAAACACATACTTAAAAACAAAGTCATCTGACAAAACTTAAAAACAAAAACTACTATCCAATGCATAATAATACATGCATTGCCTAAACTAGCAGAAGATAACCACATTATAATTGCAAGGCTTATAGCAACTTCCACCAGAGAAAAATGACCATATATAGCAAGTCTGTTAAGTATGCAATTTATAAAAAGAATTATGACTGTTTATTCACACTTCTGTAAAAAAGAATTTGCAATTTGCTGAGTATCTTATCCCTCAATATCATTAATCTGTGTAAAAATTACAGCTAAGCCAATAAACTTCAAGCACCAATTCAATCATTTAAACTTACTGTATTTATATTTCTGCTGTTGAGGGAACAAATTATGTTGAAGTCTAAGTTAAAATTAGCCCAGTAATTACAATTTAGTTTTATAGGCATACGGTTTCTTTTTCCTTCCATCCCCACATATGCCTAACATTTAAAAATGTTCAGGCCAGTAAAGGAATCCTTGGAGGAATCCATTATTTCTGCGTATCAATGGTTTAATATACATTAAGAGCTCTGTAACAAACCACTGCTTTCTTAGTTCTAAGATAAAATAGACTCGCACACAAGAAACTAACAGACTGCTCCTCATTATGACTTAGGAAAGGCAGCACCTATACAGTAGACTAACAAGCAGACCTGGATATCTACCGTAGTGTAGGAAATGGCATTATTATTCAAGAAGGCAACTCCACTGCCAGTGGCAATACTGAGTTTTTCTTAACTGACAAATTTCCACTACACATTTGGGGTAGGAGGATATCTCAGTTAAGGAGCTTTTTTTTCCTTTTTTCTTTTTTGATTTCTTTTTCTGCATCAGGAGAAAAGTAGCAGTCTGAGCCAGTAGATGAGTAACAGTATTTGTGATGCCTCTGGTTGTTCCTGAAGAAAACATGTTCAGATAACAAGGGGTTTGTCTTAAATCAATACAACTGCTATTTTGCTTCCAGTATTGACATCACACCACTTACACACACATAATTTCTGAGACATAGTTTCACTCTTTCCTACTATTAAGTTTGGTTCATCTTCAACGCACACCAAAACGAACCTTTAGGTTGGTTCCATTTGATTGAAGATAATTCTACTGAAGAACACTGATCACATGGAAACCAAAATCTTGGTCAGTAGCGATCCTCCATCACTTCCTGTCCTGTTATCTGAACTCTAGCTCAATATCACATACACTCAAGCCCTGGTGTTAGGATAGAGGTGCAGGGTCTTGCTGGTCCTCAGTAGGAGGGGCTTCACTCTGCTCCTGGCTCATCTCATTGGATGGCTCTTCATCAACAGGCTCACTGAGGTCTTCACTGCCCCCTTCGCTCTGCTCCTCACTGTGGTCTTCGCTGGGCTCCACAGTCTGTTCCAGGTTGTTCTCCAGAAGTGTGGGAGAATTGCTTATTCTACTTGCTGCTTCAGCTGTCTCACTTAAGGGCTGGGAAGGAGGTGGTGTGGGAGTGCCAGATTGCATGACACTTTCAATGGAAGAGATGGGGGCTTTGGTTAAAGTAGTATCCACTACAATCTCATTTTGAGGCAAAGACAACTTTTCCACAAGTTTCCACTGAATGATGCTCATATCTTTTCCACCAGTTGAAATCAGGTGACTGTCATTATGAGTGAAACTGACATTGGTGACATGGCTGCTGTGGGCACTGTACTTGTGACTGGGAGCCTATATGAAATAAATCAGACAGGAAAGTAAAACAGGAAATCAAAGCCACGAGTCATCAAATCTGAGGAATAAAACTAGCAGTAATTTCCCTTTAATACTGTTTATTTAGAAGAAATAAAGCATAATAATTAGACATGTATACTTTAGACTATATAGCTAAAATAGTAAAAGCCCATCTCTTTTGGAGAAAAAGTTGGTATACTTAGTAACTATTCTATTGGATGGCCAGGGAAGAATTTACTAGGTTGGCAGGATTGTAGGTGATTTAGGAAGTAGCTCTCAGGAGTTTTATAATGCTGATCATAGATGTAACAAAAATATGTTTATGAGAAATTTAAAATTGCCAATATGTAAACAAATGCACAATAAACAAAAATGAATAAACCGTCATCAGCTGCCTTCTATAATTCTTGTCCTTATTGAGGAAAGAGAAGACAAGCAATGCCCGGACACTGACAACAGATGGCCCTGCTCTCCCCCTGTGCATCTCAGTATCATGGACAGTGATTAGTAACCCTACAAATATTTTTGTGCCACTGACACAAAATTATCCTCAAACAAAAGGCACCATAATGCTAATTTTTATTAAATTAATTTTACCTTTGCTTTGGAGCAGGGATATTGAAACAGATGGACTTTGCAAAAGTCATCAGCAACAGCTATCACCTTCCTATTGTGGGATCGCACCAGTGCATTGATATCTGTCCCATCAGATCCTTCTGGCCAGACACCTTTGATATGGGAACATAGGGGTGCAGAAGAATTAGCCTGAAAAATATAACTGATAACTGTGATACTACATAGGTTTATTTAATTTCAGGATCTTACTAATTTTCATCTGTGTTCAAACTCTTAGCTGCTAACATTTTCCCCTTACAATTTCTTAGTGGCTCAACACTTTATTCAAATATTTTACCCAAAGTCTAACTAATAATAAAATTATAAATCTAAACAGCCTTATGATGGAAAATTTAATGATGCAAAAGTACTCACTCGTAACCAGCAGGTGGTGCTAAAGTAATTTTAGTTTTAAGTTTAACTCACCAATAAGCTCTTCCTTTTTCAGGTTTCTAGTTAGAGTTCATGAAGTTCTCAGTGACTCGTATAGCAAGGTGCAGAAACAAAGCTGTGGGACTCACTAATTCTTCTAAGTGGAATCTGGGTAAGCTGTGTAAAATTTACACCCTCTCTCACAGAGAGGCACTTCAAAGAAAACCTCACGGAGAGCTAGTCTATCTGATATCCCATAGAATTTTCTGGTAACTATTATTGATGTCCAAAGATAAGACATAGAAAACTTAATTTTAACCTTTATCAGGCATTGGTGGTTATGTTCAACATACCACAGAATTTTATTAGACTAGATTAAAACTATGGAATACATAGGGTTGAAGTGCTGGCCTTTTGTGGTTCAATGCTACTCTAGAGAACAATTATGTTTGATAAATTTGGTAAAATAAATTGAAACACTTCTGAACTAATAATAATTACATATTGCTTCATTAAAATAACTAGGTAAGTTATTAGTTATTGGCCACTGCCTTCGTTTCATCCAGAATAATGAAATTGTTTATGGAATAGTCAGGGTTATTTTGTTTTTCATTTCTTCCTAGCCTAGTAGGCTTCTCCATCTCTACAGCAGCTGTATTTAGAACAAGCAGCTACAATGGATTATTTTTTCCAATGCACACTGCACAAAGAAGTGTTCAGATCTATACTTATGCTGGATCTGAGAGCCGTTTTCAGAAGGCAGAGATAGACTTGTTAAAAGGAAAAGTATTAATATTTTGGGTATTGCTTTAGGTATTTGTGCTACAACCTTTTTATTCTATTTACTGAGTATAACATTTATTTTTAATTCTCTGCAAACACAGCTTTATTATTTTAACTTTTCCATTTACCATCTAACTTTCTCAGAAGGACCCCTACAGACTGGGAAAGGCTTAGTTAGAAAACTATCAGGACAGATTTCTAGGAATGTCCAAACATCAGATAAGGATCTCCAAATTTTATCTTTAAATAATAGCTACTAATACTGCCTTTTTATTTCAGCAAATGGTGCTTGGACAACTGGACATTCACATACAAAAATTAACAATAACAACTGTTGACAAGATGTGGAGAAGCCAAACCCCAACTGCTGGTGGGAATGTAAATGGTGCAGACACTTTGGGAAACAGTCCGGCAGTTCCTCAAAAGGTTAAACACAGTTACCATTTGACCTTGCAATTCCACTCCAAGGTACATACATACCCAAGAGAAATGAAAACATGCTTACTCAAAAACTTACACATGCTTGTTTATAGCAACATTATTTATAATAGCTGAAAAGTGGAAACAACTCAAATGTCCATCAACTGATAAATGGAAAAACAAAATGTGGTATATCCATACAACAGCTCTTATTCAGCCATAAAATGAAGAACTGATCCATGCTACAGTACGGGTGAAACTTGAAATATGCTAAATGAAAAAGCCAGTCTCAATGGATCACATATTACATGATTCCATTTATAAGTACTATCCAGAATAGACCATTACAGGAAGTATAGATTTTAGTGGTTGCTATGGGGTGGAGGTGGGAGTGACTACGAATGGGTGGAGGGTTTATTTTTGGGGTGATGAAAATGTTCTGAAATTAGTGATGACAGAAGCACAACTGTGAATATACTAAAACCACTGAATTGTGCACTTTAGGTGCACTTTTAAAGTGAGTGATACCTCAATAAAGCTGTTATAAAAATGCCTTTACAAATTTAAAAGTTTCAGTTTTCACTTAGAGAAAAAAAAATGGACAGGCAATCTGTCCATTATGTAAAACTAGAGGCCTGGTGCACGAAATTTGTGCATGGGGCGGCGGGGTAGGGGTGGGGGTGTCAGCCTGCACCCTTTCCAATCTGGGACCCCTGAGGGGATCCTGGGGATCGGGCCTAAACCAGCAGTCGGACACACCTCTCACAATCCAGGACCACTGGCTCCTACTGCTCACCTGCCTGCCTGCCTGATCGCCCCTAACTGGCCCCCCTGCAGGCCTGGTTGCCCCTCACTGCCCGTCCTGCCAGCCTGGTCGCCCCCACACAGCCTGCTGCTTAGTCGTTTGGTTGTCCCTTACCCCCTGCCGGCCTTGTCGCCCCACTAGCCGGTTCAGTCATCCGTTTGGTTGTTTTGGATGTGATGGCCCCTGGCTTTTTATATATATATAGATTCCTTTCTCTTATTTATCAAGGGCCAGAATTCTGGATTCTGCAGAGAACAAACCTTGTATTGGTTTAATTTCTCTGAATCTGGCATTCATAGTGATAACACTAAAGAACAGATATAGACTATTTCATTTAGGAATTCAGGCAAATAATTGTCTACAAAACTCCACAGCCTTTTTCCATCAGGTATCACGTCCTTACCAAAGACTTGAAAGCCTAGTACACAGGTATATGTCGTCCAATCGATGTCTTTGCACTCTGATCGATTCCTGATTAGTTTGCAGCTGTCTGTAATGTTCCCTTTAAATTTAGAAACAGGAAGTATAATCAGTGCTTGTGTATAAATGTATATGATTCAAACTAGCCACATTTACTTGGATTTATAACCCATACACTGGAAAACATTAAGATACATTTAAAAAGGAAAAGAGTTTAAAGCATGGTTTCTGGAAGTACAAATTGTTTCCCACTGAAGGTTCTTTTTCTTTAAAAAAGCCTCCATGTCCATCCATTATACTTTTTCCCATCACCAGAAAGAGTAAATACAAAACCATTCAGAGCAGCATCAATCTCGCCGAGTTAATTTCTTATGACATGTCTGCACATTTAAATTAACTCATTACCTTTTTGGAGAAGTGAAGCACATTTGAGATTCTCATTCCTTAGCTCAGAATAACATATGCTGCCAGGCTAGAGAGGCCAACATGCATGCTCCGCACAATTCAGATTGCATACAGCCCACTCATTAGTGCCCCTGGCAGACACCCTCAGCCATACATGATCATTCATACTTACAGTACAATATTTCATAGTCTCCCGAGTTAGACATTATATACTCGTTGTCTGGGGACCAGTCAAGGTGTGTGATATAGCTGGAATGTCCCTAGGAAACAGTAGATAGATCACCTATTAGAAAGCATGTAAAATTTGAATAATAAAAAGTTCAATAATTAGCCAATACTGTTTTGTGAGTAGCCGTTCACCTGGAATTCCTAATGTATAGACAGCAGTATCACAACCTATAGAACTGAACAGGGCTCACAGCAACCCTTTAGTCCCTTTTCACTCTATCTCACTGGGAGTCAAAGATGCAGGTATGCGAAGATGCCAGTGATACATGAAGAGTTCAAGCAGAATTCCAGCTAAAGAGGCCTCACCACAGTGGAAAGGGTAACTAACACTGGGAACTTGGGAGTATCCTGTTGGCCTCCCCTCTTAGATACCAGCAACTATTTATCTGTTAGGGACTTCCAAGAAAGACAGTCTTGAAAACTTGTGTCTTAAAGGACACTGTGACAGGTACCAAACCCTTAGGCCATATTTCAGATCACTGGTGTCCCTGTTTTAGAGTCACTTCATTTTTGAGAATGAAGTATTGGTCTCAGGTTGTTCAGAGTACAGTTTTCCTGGACTGCTTCTTGAGTATCCAAGGCACATCCCAGAGGCACACATACAACAGTCTCCTAGAATAGTGGTCGTCAACCAGTGGTCCGTGAGGTCTGAAAGGTTGGAGACTGCTGTCCTAGATCACTATCTCCAAAGAATATTCTGGAAGTCACCCAACACTGTACTCCTTCGGAACAGCTGGATCCGATATAATCACCTGACTCCTTACAACATTCCTTAAACAGGAAGACAGTGATCTTTTTCTGCTTAGGTTTTACTAATACTGTGGGAATTCAACACCTCCTAAATGGTGTTATTTTGTTGGCATCACATATACGCAGCCGATTTCCAATAAACTACTTCAGATAAATCACAGGTCTTATTGGTTTACCAAAGTCGATGGAGACTCAAAATCACTTTTCATCTCTTACAGTCTATGGTAAAACATACTTAATTTATAATATACTTTTTAAATTACTAGCTTTCTGTGCATGTGGTTTTATTTTTTAAGTTAATAAATTCAAAATACTTTAGGCATAGTTTTTAATGATTTATACAAAGTATTCTAATTATTCTCTTACCCTTCTGAAATCTAATGACATGTCCCAAAACCTCTCTGGAGCTACGATCTCCCCACAGCACTGCATGGCAAATACATATATTTATACATTTAAATATATTTAAATTATATGAATTTGAAAGCTAAAGAAGTTTCCTGAAGTCACTGGAGATTAGGTGGTATACTGGAAAACAGATTGGGAATCCCTTGCTAGGCACACAGGCCTACCAACTTAGTAAGAAATCAGTTTTCAAAACCAGAAAGACATGTGATTACTGGGTATTTTCTGAATACAGCAGAAGGACAGGTTCACACATATCCTCTTCATAGTTCACATGAATCTGATGCCTTGCTCTGGCATCTGTAGAAGCCATGCTTCTAAGAGAAGAAAACTTCTGCTACACGAGTGAAGGATTTAACCAGATCAGTCATGACGAAGTAGTTGCCCAAGAACTACTCATCCTAATGCAGAAGTATATAAAAATTATCTGAATCTCTTTAATAGCATTACTTAGAAGATCAAAAGCGTTGTATGTATACATAATATTCATGTAACATCTGTGTTGGACACAAGGCAAATCAATGTAAAGTATTCGCAAAAGATTCAAGTAGAAAAAACAGCAAAGACCTTGGGGAAGTTATCAGTTCATATTGGAAAATATTTTCCCTCTGATATGGATTCCAGTATATGAGCGAAGAAAAGCTGAAATGCAGCGGCTGGGGGTCTGTAATGCAACCTTCCCAGACACCACCTCAGCATGTCCCTGCCCGCTCAACTCACAGGCCATGGAAGGCACATGCACAGCTTGTGGGCAAAGAGCCTCAGACATCACCGCAAGGCCAGAGACACCGTTGGGAGCAAGACCCTGGATACCTCCTTAAAAAGAAACAGTATTTTCTAAGTTGGCACCTTCATTTCTGCCATTAACTAGCTGAATGATGTGACTACAATAATAATCACATATGACGAAGCCAAAACACTACTACAGAAAAATCAAATATTTTAGCTAAATCTTTGTTAATGGCATGGAGGATCACCTACTCAGTGGTTGCAACCATACCAAAGCCCAGAGTTAGGGATCTATTTTCCTTAGTAGGTATCCAGGTGTCCCCTCACCATCTATAACGATGCGTCCAATGGAACTTTCCACAGTGATGAAAATGTTTCTGTGCAGTCTAATGCAGTGGCAACTAGCCATCTGTAGCTTCTGAGTGCTCATAATGTGGCCAGTACTCCAGGGAACTGAACTTAATAAGCAGAAAGTTGTGGTTAGTAGCTATGATGCTAGATAATACAGGTAGAGAACAGTTCATTCTTTCTCTACTGATTTCAGGTATCTTTTTAATTACCTAGCAAATTTCCGCATAGCAGAGATCTGTTTCTGGATTCTTTCTGTTCCATTAGTCTATTTGCCTACTCTCAGCCAACTGTGATAGTTTCGTGGTATGTGGAAAGTTTCAGATGACTTTCAGAACCATTTTATCAAGCTCATAAATATCATGCTGAAAACCTAAGAGTGCATCAAATTTAGAGGATAATTTGCAGAGAAAGATATTTTTATCAAGTGTTTTCATCTAGAAACATGTCTCTATTTTTATAGTTCCGTTTTGTCTTTTAGCCATGTTTTACTTAGCTTCCTGTGCTTTTCTTGCTACATTTATCTATAAAGCATCTAAGGCAGTGGTTCTCAACCTTCTGGCCCTTTAAATACAGTTCCTCATGTTGTGACCCAACCATAAAATTATTTTCGTTGCTACTTCATAACTAATGTTGCTACTGTTATGAATTGTAATGTAAATACCTGATATGAAGGATGGTCTTAGGCGACCCCTGTGAAAGGGTCGTTCGACCGCCAAAGGGGTCGTGACCCACAAGTTGAGAACCGCTGATCTAAGGTTTCTGTTGCTCTTTCGAATAGGGTTTTCCTCCACTGTAGTTTTGATGTGCTTTTGTTGGTTTGAGAGAAAGCGGATCTTTAGAGAGTAGACACTAGTTGTTTATTTAATCCAGTCTGCCCCTTCCTTACATGCCCAGCTAAGGCACTATTTCCTAAACTCTTTTGCAGCCAGAGGTGGCAGAAGTCATTCAGTGGGGCTCCCAGAAAAATTTTCAGGGAACTGACTTAGTAGGAGGAGGGCCTTTTCCTCCTGCAACTGGGATGTGATGACTGGAGTCCCAGCAGCATCTTACTGAGGATGATGGAGTAGAAAGAAAGAAGGATCCTGAGTCCCTGACAACTTTATAATTCCTGTTATTAGTAATACTGAATCCTACTGCCTTACTGAAATACTGCATCAGTGTTATGGATTATTTTCTTGAAGATTTCTAGGTAGACAGTTAAAATGTCTTCTTTGCTTATATGTATTTTCAATTACCACAGTCCTGGCATTAAGAACACTTATTTTTACCAGCACTACTTGCTTACCTAACAGACTTTATAATGCTTTTGATTTTTAGTACATCACTGCAACTTCGATACACTGTATCTGCTAGGTTCAGATCTTTGAGCAGCCGTGTTAAAAAATACACAGGAATTTGAGGCAAACAGAAAGCCAATGTTGCACTGAGGTGCACAATAAAATAATCTTAATTCTACTGCACACAGAATAGGACCTTTAGGTAAGTCAGAACAACTAAACTATTTCAAGGTAAATACACAATTGTCCATAACTAGAAAATAATTTTGAACTTTCACAGATTTATGTTAAATTCTTGTTAAAAACACCCCTAGGTACAACCCAGGGCTCATCTAGTTACCGAGAATAATGCTACTTGAGATTTACTTTCTATGTACAGGGCATTAAGTTTAAGTTCCTTACATACACTATCAGCTCTAAATCTCATAGCAACCTTGATTAAAGTATAGGAGGCAGATAGGTGAAGTAACTTCTGAAGTCACACAAAGAAATGGAGGCTGGCTGGCGTGGCTCAGTGGTTGAGCGTCAACCTATGAACCTGGAGGTCATGGTTTGATTCCTGGTCAGGGCATATGCCCAGGCTGCAGGCTCGATCCCCAGTAGGGAGCACGCAGGAGGCAGCTGATCAATAATTCTCATCTTTTTTGTTGTTGTTAATCCTCGCCCGAGGATATTTTTCCATTGATTTTTAGGGAAAGTGGGGGAGAGAGGGAAAGACAGAAACATCGATGTGAGAGAAACACATCGATTGGTTGCCTCCTGCACAAGCCCTGACCAGGGCACAGGCTGGGGAGGAGCCTGCAACCGAGGTACATGCCCTTGACCGGAATTGAACGCGCCCACACTCTGTCCACTGAGCCAAACCGGCTGGGGCCTCTCTCATCATTGATGTTTCTATCTCTCTCTCCCTTCTTCTCTGAAATCAATAAAAATATATTAAAAAACAAAACAGAATTGGAGCCAGAGTTCAAACCCAGATCAGATGATTCTGGACCAAATTAAACCCAGCACTGAAATCATGCTGATATCTCACTCATTTCTTTAACACTGACAACGAGCAAAAAGCAATGTAAAAGTAGCATTTAAAAAAAGAAATTTATAAGTAATTAAGGACCTTTTCAGTACATTTTCAAAACAGTACAGGAAAGGCTGAGGTCAAGAAACACTGTATGGAAAGGAATAGAACTAAAACCTCCCAAAACTCAAAGCGCAAAAGACTCAGGGATCTTTGAGAACATTAACCAGCAGTCTTTAAGTTCTTGTTAGCGCTAACACCCTTTTGTCATATTAAATCGTACTTGAGAAGTCCAGTATGTAAAGCAAATAAAATCAGATCCATTTGAGCCCCACCCCCCAGCCCCAACCCCAAATCCTAGGGCTTTGCAGGAGACAAAGTAAAAAGAGCTTCTGAATCCAAAGCCTTAAAAGGATTTCTATAGCAGCAGTTACACAATCAAACTGCTTACACAGTGAATTTAGGATACAATCACGGATTCATGAATCCTGTAATTTAGTCAAAC